CTGAAGGTCAAGATGAAATAATATAACATTTATTTGGTATTTACTATGGACCAGGCACTATACTGAGTGTTTTGCACAAATTATCACAGTTAATACGCACCACAAACCTCTGATATAGGTAATTTTATCGTGCCTATTTACACTTGAGGAAAACGAGGGGCTTAGAGAAGTTAACTAACGTGTACAAGTTGGCATAGCCACAGACCAGCAGAGCCAGAGTTGATGCTAGCTGGGTGGCTAACGTGCACTCTGGTTGAGCATCTGATTTGACTGGTAGGTTCTGTACTATACTGATTGTTAAGTGTTTTGATTATTGCACCCGGTAAGTCAGGACTTAATCTTACTTGTAACCATCATGTTATACCATGTGTTATACTGGTTTGAATTAATTGTTAACAAATCTTTGCTTATGTAACTCAGCCCCTTTGATCCTGTTTCAAATAACTAAAAAGAAAATTTTAAAGATTCTGAACCTAAAAAGAGACCTTTTTTTAAAGGTGCCTAAAATTACCATAGTTCATTAGTTCATTTGCCTGCCCATTGATACTTCTTTCATAGACTCATTTCCACTGCCCCAGCCAAGAGAACAAATATGGTGAACCTACTACCCTCGCAGCAGCTGAGTGGGTACAGGCAGACCCTGAGCCAGAAGAAGCCTGTTTTCTGTTCTTTCTAGGACTTTGTAATTGAACAGAGGAACTCTGCTGCTAAATCAAGGGACTAGAAAGGAGAGAGTATAAAAAGCCAGCATGGCACAGCCCTGGTACACCAGGAAAACCACTCTTCAGAGAGAGAAATGAATAAAGCAGCGACAGAAAGGAATGGATACAGGCCAGATCCGGACTCAAGGGAAGAAGAGCTGCGTCTGACTCTCCAGTGCCGGCTCCAGCTCCTGTAGGGGCCCAATGGTGCCACCTGCGCTGGGTCTCCAGGAGGGCCTCCTGTGACTCTCCAACAACCGCCTCATTTTGGTTTGAGCAGGATTCTGTTCTTACAACCAAACAAGCCTGCAGTTTTGGCATCGATGTGGCATTTGCTGTGAATCGTTGTCCACTGCCACATAAACAACATATTTCAACACTTCTTACAACTCAGAAATTCCACTTCTTAAATTAGAGGAACTGATTTATCTATACAGATTTTTATTTTGCTTATTATAAAATATTTTGTGTGTTTCACCCAAAGATCCTAAAATTCAGAACATTTGTGTTTGAAAAATACGGCACTTTATTCTAAGTTATTTCCCTTCTGTTCAGTTTTTCTTCATGCAAAACTCACATTATATAACAAATTTCACCAACTAGTAGCTAAAAAAATAAAACTTACCAAGAAGGGGGAGTGAGTGTGTGTGTGTGTGTGTGTGTGTGTGTGCACGCACACACAAATGCAGATGTTTCTTTCCCTCTGTTTGGAGAGCTCTTTAATAAAGAGATCTGTTAATTTTGAAGCCAGAACCCTCTACCAATATGAGCATGAAAGATTTGTTTCTTTCAATCACAGATTTGCTATCTGACATTCTGTGTCTCGGTTTTTAGAACTGTAAAAGCAGGGAAAAAATACTATATATAGCTTCAATTTCAAAGAAACTATTTGTTTAACAATAAAACAATAGAAATTGAAAGAAATCATTTGTTGAACAATAAACTAATATATTTTTTGATTAATAAACTCCAAAATATCTATTTAAGGATATTTAAAATTTTTAACCTAGAAGAATGTAGTATTTTATTCATTGACAAAGTTTTGACTTAAATGCTTAGCTAAATAGTTAATGAGTTCATAGTACCTGTTGTTAAAATGGAAATGAAGGTAACAACAATGAAGAAGATGACAAAAACCATTTCTATTCTCATTTGGAACCAGCGCAGTGTTGATAGGTACAAGAACCAGTTCGCAGTATGTAAATTCAGAGCTTTGTGGAAAAGAGTTTCAAAGTAAGGCTGCCGTCCAAATGCACGAAGCGTCCATAGTCCTTTTAAACTTGTAACAAGATGAGTGAAAATTGGACTCCTGCCTGTGAAATAATCCCATAAAAAACAATGCAAATCACATAAACACAGAATGTATTTTCATACTATGATGTACCTGAAAAAGACTAACATAATCATACTACAAATGTCATTGGTTAAAAAGGT